TTTTATACAAAATAATTGTTTATATGAAATGAATTGACTATATTTAAGCTAGAGTTATTTTTAGAATTTATTATGAATAAAAGAAAACAATAGTTGTAAAAATTTAGTCTACGTAAAAATTATTTAAAACAAATAAACAAAGCCAACCGCGAACATACGCACAAACGACACGCAAAACAAAGCCAACCGCGAACACACGCACACACGACACGCAAAACAAAGCCAACCGCGAACACACGCACACACGACAAGCGAAACGAAGCTAACAGCGAACACACGCACGCACTACAAGCAAAACAAAGCTGACAGCAAATTATACTTGTGCGGTTGTGCGTGCATTTAAGCAAAGCAAAGTGTCGTATATAAATAGCGGAGATTTTGTATGAAAGATCACTTAGCACCGGCACACCGAAACGAGTAGTACTCTACTCCAGCGCTAAGTCTTTCTTTTTTGAGAAGCCCATGGTGTTTTGACGCTAAGGCTTAATAAATCAGTAGAAGTAGATTTTATAAACGCCATTGATGTTTTGACGTCTTTGGCTAGAACTAATTGCGTAGCTTTGAAAAAAACCCTTTGATGTTTTGACGTCTTTGGGTAAAAATTATTGAGTAGATTTATAAACGCCATTGATGTTTTGACGTCTTTGGCTAAAACTAATTGCGTAGATTTGGAAGAACCCTTTGATGTTCTGACGTCTTTGGGCAAAAATTATCGAGTAGAGTCAAGCTTAAAATAAATTATCGAGTAGAGTCAAGCTTAAAATAAATTATCGAGTAGAGTCAAGATTAAAATAAATTATTAAAGAAATCTTTTTAATAAATAAAGTTTTTGTTTAAAATAATAAACGGTCTTTTTAACTTTCCTTGGTTTACCAGCTTCGAACTGGTCAATAGAACAAATTTATTGCAACGACCCGGACCACGACTGAGTAATACCTCAGCAAATTTAAAACGACAAATCCGTGTCGTTACATCACTAATTAGTGAAAATGGCCTAAATGGCTATATAACGTTAAATGCAGAAGACATTAAAATAAAAGACCAACCTACAAACAAAACTATAGGTAAGTCGACAACTGAAATAAATATAAGGAAAACACCTAGTGAAATTTGTAATGAACTTTTTTAACAGCCGAGGTTTCGCTCGCCGGATCCCAGAGTCGTCACAAGAATATTTCTTTATAACCCTGAATCTTTTCGTATAATAATTTTAAGACCGGTTAATTTTATTTTAAATTCTTTATTATTTTTTTTTATGATATGTAAATAGTCTGTGTCGTTATTGTGTTGGGTTGGTTTTTGCTTGTTTTTCATACCTCGGTTTTAATGAAATTAACTGTTTTAAAAACTGCGTCGTTCAATTGTTTCAAGACGCTTCCTGTATTTTTGAATACTAGTGGTGATTGGGTTTCGAGTAGTGTACTCTATTGGACAGTTGCTGATCCGCTGTTTGATATTCATGTTGCTACGTCGTTTTATAGTGTTCAACTAAATCCTCGTATAATTGTTTCCGCGTTTTATAGGAATTTCTATTATGTAGATCCCGTTAACCCTTGCTGCGGCACATTTGGCATTTCGAAATGTTCGTGGTAATAAATTTTTAGTTCGCTAATATGAACTCTACTCTCTTTCTGTGTTTGCATATGCTTGAGTTTGATAATGACTGGCGATATAAAATTAACCACCTGATAAGGTCCTGAGAACTAAGACGCCAGTTTTTCAGCAAAATGAGCCTGAGCGTTGGATAGAGGATGCGTTTTAGCTAAAACCATATCGCCAATCTATGGTTTCCATGCCCTATATCGTATATTATAATGCTTGGCTTGGTCTTGGGAAGCTGACTGTAGGTTAAGTTTCACAATTTGTTGTATTTCTTGCATTTCGTGTGGCTTAGTTTCAGGAGGTATCGGTGCGTAGTTTGTTCCAAGTGTGGCTTCATCGAAAAGTGCACTTGAGACCCTGGGGGTTCTTCCGTGTATAATATAAGCTGGACTGTAACCCGTACATGTGGATACACTGGAATTGAGTGCTAACATTATTTCAGGTAGATGCTCGTCCCATTTACGCTGTTCCTGTTCTGACACTTGTGCGATATTGTTTTTAACGTTCGATTGGTGCGTTCAACCGGATTCTCTTGGGGAGTGTATGGTGCTGTAAATTGGTGACGAATTCCAAGATCTTCCAGAAATTGCTTCAATGCTCTACTATTAAACTGTGATCCACTGTCTGTGAGTAGAACCTTTGGGACTCCAACTCTAGCTATTATATTTTCCCGTAATGCCTTCTTCACTCCATTTGTTGTAGCAGATTTGAAGGGGATAACTTCGCTGCCGTGTTTCCTTTGTATGATCGAAGTAGTGCTCCAATGAAATCAGCACAGAGTACTGCCCATGGTTCATTTGGTATTTCCGTTAACATTTTCCCAATTTTTGTTGACTTACTTTATACCGCCCCTTACTAGGTAGTCACCTTGTCGTGGTGTAGGGGCTTATTGTGGACTGAAGCATGTCATATGAAAGTCATGACATGATGACTTTTCATGTGGCATGATTCAGCACACAAACTAAGAACTGCCGCCAACGCACAGGTTGAAAGTAGGTATCTACGATTCCTGATTAGTCGTTGAGGCTAGCTAGTGGACTTTAATGGATACTTGCTAATTAGTCAATCCTTTTAGGAAAGTGCGGCTATCTATCAGACCAATGACTCGCCTTCAGTAGGGTCATGTGTCTGCTGTTTGTGGGTCACCGATAGGCGGGCGGGGGAGAAGAAAAGCTCCCTAGGGTCAGTTCATATTCCAGGTTCTCAAGGCTAGGTCTTGATAGCCTGGTGTATGAACAAACCTATTGCCCCAAACTAACCCCCTAAACTCACAGTGGAACAGCTATGCTGGTGAACTTGCTTGACAGGGTAGAGTCAAGCTTAATAGCGAACTCCATACCAGACCTGGCAAACCTACGGTTTCAATTTGTCCTTCCCATGGGGGCACTCATGGGTAACCAACCTGCATGGTTTAGTAAAACTTGTTTTTTTTATGGATTTAAATACACTCAAGTCTATAGACTGCAATCCTTTAAATGTGCAACATATGGCTTTACAAAGCCAAAACTCATCACTGGCCGAGGGGATACATGGTACCCTCGTCAGTGAACAAATGGACCACGACTAGTTCGACTTGTTGGAGGGGGCACCTGGTCCTCTACCCGACAATCCGGAGGAGATGGACATTCCACTTAGTCAGGAGTTGGCTGGAATGTCCATTTCCTCGGAACAGGAGAGCCTGGTCCAACCAAAAAGACTCAAACAAGAGTGAATCTATCCTGCGCTGGACAAAAAAGGTTGAAGGCTTTACTTGCCAAGGGCATCCCGCTGGAAACAGCAAGGTCCTTGGCAGTAAAATCGGCTACCGCGACTAACAAAGGACAGGCAACACCAAAACGATCCCGATCGGACAGCTCTACACCAACATCAAGCTCCAAACCGACAAAGCGGATTGCATTACAGGGCAAAAAAGTTGATAACAAATCAACAGTGCCTGCAACTGCTTTATCGATTTTCAGCAGGATGAAGGAAGTACAGACCTCACACGGGGGCAAACCTGTTCCCAGTAATGAGGTGGCAACGGTATCTGTGGGGCAGGCTGAGCAGAGCGCTTCTTCCGAAGACATATGTTCAAAGTCTAGTCTAGCAGAAACTGTTCGCTCTAAGAAGATCAGTATACCACCGCACAATTTCCCATAGGGCATTTGGTCCAATGAGGAAATTGGTATGGTGCAAAAATGCATCCTCGACAAGATGTACGAAACTTGTCAGGCTCCTGGGGTAAAGCCTCTCTTCACCGGTTACAGTCTTAAGCCCGAATGGTTTACCATTAACTGTCTGGACGACGAGACTGTAACTTGGTCTAAGGAGACAATCCCACCCTTGAAGCCGTGGGAAGGAGCCCAGCTTAAGATAGTGGACGAGGCAGAAGTGCCAAAGTCTGCTCAGCTTCCAGTCTCACCGTCCTGGCAAAGTGACCGAATTTTGGGACAAATTGAGTGCCAAAATTCGGGCATGCGTGTAAGGGACTGGCGGGTGCTCCACAGGCTTCATAAGCACGATCTCGTCGAGATGGCGATTGCTCTGGACCCTTTATCGTCCGAAATGGTTGGAAAGCTGGGGAATAAAGCCTTTTATGGACTTAGTAGTGCCGTGCTGAGACCTAGACACAAAGGAAACAGAGCAAAGGAAATGGTTGACGATGAAAAACCATCAACATCTGCGGCTCGTGCTTAGTCAAGCAATCAAAAGCCGAAAACGGGTCTCAACTTCGGGAGACCATCATTGAGAGGGGGCAGAATCCGTGCCCAGGGCAGAAAACCTTCTTCTCTCTCTGGTCTCTCTGGTCTACTCTCTCGGACTCAATGACTCAATGCCTTGGTGGAAGAACACTGTCTGCATTTTGTGGCCATCCAAGAACCATGGGCCACAAATGGGTGCATAAGCGGTCTACAGATAAAAACGTGTAAGTTATTCTATGATAGTGTGGTGCATTAACAATTGGTTGAAGGGTAGCAACTCTGGCCGAGTGAGAGAAAAGTAAACGAAGCAAGTTAACAATTGACATTTAAAAGTAAGTTGTTAATTAGAAATTTTTTTAATGAAAATAAATAAATGGTTACTCAAACAGTTCAAGAAGTAATATACATTTTTGTTAAGTAACACGCTATAAATTGGTGACAGCCGACGTATGAAATTACAAAATTTACACAAATTTACGTTACAAGTGAAAAGATGGCGATGGATAACAACGGCACGAGCCCATCATCAAACGCTACTCTAACAGTTTGCAATAGTACTACTCTGAACGATAGTAATCATATGGTAAATCGAGTAGCCGTCAAGGTTCCGCCATTCTGGTCTGACCACGCGAAGATATGGCTTGCTTAAGTTGAAGCGCAATTTGGTGTTGCTGGAATTACTAGTGACACTTCAAAATTTACAACGTTGTAGCAGCCATGTCAAATGTCCTGGTTCAAATATCTGATGCCGTATTGAACCCACCACCTGAAGGTAAATATAGTAATTTGAAAAAGTGCATTCTAGAGCGCTACTGTGAAAGTGAAACTAAGAAAACGCAAAAACTACTCGCAGAAGTCGATTTAGGGGACAAACGACCAACGCAACTTTTAAATGAATTGAGCGTGCTTGCTAAAGACAACGTTACTCGTGAATTTTTGAAAACCTTATGGTTACAACGTTTACCAGCACAAATTAGAGCAATCTTAATGGCGTCTGATGCCGATTTAAACGAATTAGTTAAATTAGCAGACAAAATAATGAAGGTAGGCGAATTTAAACATGTAGCGGCTGTGGCGACATCACAAGTGTCACAAGTATCTAATATTGACAAACGAATAGAGTGCCTCGAGCAGCAAATGAATAGACTTTGCATGAAAGACAACAACTACTGGCGCCGTTCACGATCTTCTTCTGCTAAGCGTCAGAGTTCCAGTCGTCATCAGAAGGCGTTTACTTAAACTGAGGAACAGTTTTGTTGGTGTCATCAAAAGTACGGCGAAAAAGCACGTAAATGTTGCGAACCATGCACTTTTACCAGCAAAACACAAAAAAAACTAAATGCTTCTTTCGGTCCAGCGAGCGGGCCAAAAGTTAGCCATTTTATAGCTCGCCTTTTAAGAGCCGATAATAACTCGAAACAGCATTTTTTAATAGATACCGGCGCAGACGTTTCCGTTCTAGCAGCTCGTCGCTTTGCTAAACAAAAAATGACGAAAACGACGAAGACAACACAACTGTTTGCAGCCAACGGTAGTCCTATACGGACATATGGCGAAAAACGTTTAAAAGTATCCTTGAATTTAAGATGAAATTTTATTTCGACATTTATAGTAGCGGACGTTAACAGTGCCATCATTGGATCTGATTTTTTAAAACACTTCGGTCTTTTAGTTGATGCAAAAGGTAGTAAACTTATTGATCGAAAAACGTTACTTGAGGTAAATGGCATTGCAACACAATCTAATGGGGTTCAAGTACGAGTACATTCTGCCCAGGGACGCTACGCTCAGTTACAACACGAATTTAAGGACTTAGCGATAATTAATGCGAATAAGCAGCCAATTACCACCAAAGTGACACACCATATTACTACGAAAAGTCCTCCAACATACGCTCGTGCTCATCGGATAACCAGAGAGAAGCTAATTGCAGCAAAAAAGGAATTTGAATTTTTAATGGAAAAGGGTATTTGCAGACCTTCTGAAAGTAACTACACTTAGTGAAGAAATCAAACGGTGAATGGCGTCCTTGTGGAGACTATCGTGCATTAAATAATATAACGGTGCTAGATAGGTACCCAATACCGTATTTACATGATGTTACCAACATTTATATGAAAAAACGATTTTTTCAACAATCGATTTACAGCGGGCTTATCATCAAATACCGATCGAAATTTGCGATAAACCCAAAACTGCCATTATAACTCCTTTTTGGCTTTATGAATTCCAATATATGACATTTGGTTCAAGAAATACCGCACAAACTTTTCAACGCCAAATAAACGAGGTTCTAAAAGGCCTCGATTTCATATTTGCATATATAGATGACATATACATAGCATCGAATTCAGAGGAGGAACATGAAAAGCATCTACGAATTATACTGGAACTCCTTCGTCTAGGAAACTTGGCTGTAAACTTTGGAAAATTACAATTTGGTAAGCATGAACAAATTTTTTTAGGGCATAACATCAGCACACAAGCCACCCCCAAAAAAAAATGAACGCTGTACGTAATTTGCCAAAACCTAACACAACTAAACAGCTTAAAAAATGTTTGGGAATGATAAATTTCTATCGCTTATTCATTCCCAAAGCGACGAAAAATCAACAAATATTACAACAATTAATATTTGGTAACAAAAAGAACGACAACAGGCTTCTTAGGTGGACGACCGGATCTGAAAATGCGTTCGAAGAATGCAAGAGCGAACTTGCAAATGCCACGCTATTGAATTTCAAGGCTCCAAATACGAAACTTATAGTCACCACGGATACATCGGACGAGGCAGTCGGTGCAGTCTTGCAACAGGTTGTAAAAAACCAAGTACAACCTCTCGGTTTTTCTTCGAAAAAAGTCACGTCTCCTCAAAAAAATTACAGCGCCTACGATCGTGAGTTAACAGCAATATATCAGGCAATAAAGCATTTCAAATATGCTCTTGAAGGCAGAGAATTCGTAATTCTTACTAACCATAAGCCAATCATTTTCGCTTTTAAGCAGAAAACTGAAAACGCATCGCCTAGAAGAGTGCCATAACAGTTTACAATAAGGAATTGAGAAAATCGAAGAGGGAATCATGGAGGAAGCACTGCGATGAGATTGAAACACTTTCGGCGGCTGCGAACACTAAAGAAGGCTGGCGGAAGCTTTACGGAAAGTCTGGAGGCAACGGGACAGCTTTTGCTGGACATTCATTTTCCAGGCTGTGCCATTCATACTGAGACTACGGAAACCATCGAGCATACTCGTTTCTTGTTGGTTACACGTAGAGATCTTTCACTAGCTCATAAAATCTTCACAGTCAATAAAACTAAATGGGCCATTACCACTTTCAGACCGTTGAAATCACCTGGTATCGACAATATACAACCGTGTCTTCTTCAGAAAGGCGTTGATATATTATCACAGGTATTAACAAACGTATTTAGAATAAGTCTAGAGCTAGGCGTGATACCTAAATATTGTACAAAGGCTAGGGTAGCTTTCATACCTAGAAAGCCTAGAATCATAAGATTCTAGATCAATACATCAGGGAAGTCTACATCAAAGCTTCACTTTTACATATTGAACAGTATGCTTATCAGTCGGGCAAATCGACCGAGACCGCTACACACAGTCTAATAAGTAAAATCGAGAAGGACTTAGACGGTAAGGAAATAGCTCTCTGCACATCGGTTGACATTACAGGAGCTTTTGATAATGCAACATTCAGATCAATTGAGAAAGGAATGGTCAGGAAAGGAATACACAGACTGATCATAACATGGATTCTCAATATGCTGAAAAATAGGACGATAATCTTTGAAATGGGGGTGAAGAGATTAACGTCAAGTCAACCAAAGGATGCCTTCAAGGAGGCGTTCTATCACCGCTCCTATGGCTTTTGGTCATTGACGAACTCCTACAGGTTCTTAGTGACCTCGGTTATGAAGTTTAGGGCTTTGTAGATGATCTGGTTATCCTGGTTAGAGGCAAATCTGATTCCACCATATCCGATCGTATACAACTAGCTCTTGACATCACTCAAGATTGGTGTCAACAGAAAGGACTCTCGATTAATCCAGATAAAACAAACGTAGTACCCTTCACCAAAAGAAGGAAGATGAGCCTAGGAACCCTAAAGTTAGGGGCAGTGACGACGCGTGCCCTATCTGGAAGGGTGTGCGGCCCTTCTTTAATGTTGTTTTTACATGTACCAATTATATTAAAATATATGAGATCTTTTATTAATAATAACTATATTATATAAGGCAATAATATAGTCGCAATATTATATTAACAATTCATTAACAAAAGAACATATTAAACAAATTAAATTAATAATTTATATATAAATTTAATATGGAAGAAACAAAACTTTTTACATAATTCTCGTAACATCAAACCAACTTTTTTCAAACAAAAGAGTTTTAACTCAGAACCATACATGTTTATCCAGTGATCAAACAAAATCAAACCCACTTGCAACGTACAAGTGTGCGCACAAGTACTCCGCACAGTAAGAACAGAAATTTGTGGGTGCTACTGTTAAAAGGGGAGAGACGAAATGTGATAGAAATGTATGCTGAGATGAGCTGCAAACTTCAGCCGCTCACGCAACCACTTTGGCAAATCATTATGTTGGATTCGTTGATATTCGAATACAACAAAAATTCACTCTCATACAATTCCCACTATATAAATCTCTATCTCTGATATTACGAATGGGAGCACACGCACATTATTTTGTTCATATGCAACGTATGAATGTGCTGCCAACTTCTTTGCACACAAAGGGGAGAGACGAAATAAAATAGAAATGTTCTGTGATTTGAGCTGCAAATATATGAGCACAACTAACAAGTATAGCAGCTAACAGAAGCAAATTGATTGAGTTTTCATAGACAATTATATTTAATTGTTTTTGCTAAAACTTTAAAAAAATATATATGGAAATGTAATAAATAATAATAATTCTTGATGTGAAGATACTTAATAAATTTATATTTCAATGTTATTTGACATTTTGGAAATTATGTTAGGGTGTTCACCGCACACCTCCGCACCTTAGAGCAATCGTCACTGGTTAGGGGACACTGACTTAATACTATCAGAGGAAATTAAATATCTAGGACTAATTCTTAATAAATTACCTACTTGGAAAACCCATTTATCATATATAACTGGCAAAGTCCTAAGAGCAACTCATGCGAGCCAAAGACTAAAAACATGAAAAAACAAGGAGTCTGCGACCAAAAATGATGGCTTAGACGTATAACACCGTAATAGTACCAATCACCAGTTTCCTTAGCATGGTGTCTAAAGGTAAATCAGACGAAGGCTAAGAGGACTCTCAATAAGATTCATCAAACACCCTGTCTAAGCGTAACGGCAATATCAACGTGGTCCACATAAGCCCTAGCAATGCTTACTGGACTCACTCCATTACACATCACAGTTAAAAGGACTGGGACCAGTGCCGCACTAAGGCTTCCTTAATTATGTAATCTTAAAGAGGGCAATCTGACAGGACACGCAAAGATTCTAGATGAAGTCTGGAAATCTCTGTGCCTTAAGATCTTTGATGAAATGAATAGAAGATTAGCTTTCTCCAGGAAATTTGAAGTGGTCATCAGTGACCGATCAATTTGAAGAAACAATGAAATTATCTTAAAACAGGGTGTCAATTATGGTATACTGATGGGTCCAAAGTGGAAGATGGTAGTGCAGAAGCAGGAATTATGGGACCGTAGTTACGAAAAGCAATCGCAATGGGAAAACTGCTTCCATTTTTCAGGCAGAAAAAAAAGAATGCCTAGTAGGTGCACCCGAGGTACCAAAAAATGCAAAATCCTTATTCCATAGCATATATTACTCTTATGTGAATACTGTAACATAAAATTTATAGCTTGTGGTGTCCACCCAAGTATAAAGAATGTGTGTTCGACTAAATTCATTCGTTTCGTAAATACAACCTTGAGTCACTTTTATCGATATTTCAGTACGAAAGAGTGTAGACAAGAAACAGAAACAGCTGTCACTCCACCGCCATTGATGACAGTGAATTTGCGAGTTGAGAAGTATGAAAAAGCAAGCGGAGTAGAAAAATTTTGATTGAGAAAAAAAATAAATTGTCTATTGTAACGACAAGTTCTAAAAACTTTTGTATTTAACGTTCTTACCATGATTGATGAATCATAGTAATTACAACAATAATTAATTAAAATTAAATAGTAAAAATAAATTGTCTATTGTAACGACAAATTGGTGACCCCGACGTGATTCCGGGAATTAAAACCACATTTGGTGACGCCGGAATTAAAACAACAATTTGTAAAAAGCTAAGTAGCAGCCACAGAGTCTCGCAACGCAAATTCTTTAACAAGCAGAAATATCATGAACGAAGACGAAGCAGTCAACGCAACAACCAGCACGACAGTACAGCATGGTACAACACCGGCAGAAATTTGCCGCATAGGTGTCAAGCCGCCGGTATTTTGCAAACGCGACCCCGACTTATACTTCCTGCAGATGGAGGCGCAATTTCGCAACGCACGCATTACACAAGACCAGACGAAATACGACTACGTGATTGGTTCGTTGGACGGGTCTACACTAAGAAACGTTGCGGATATTGTGAGATCACCTCCATCGCAAAACAAATACGACGCAATAAGGAATCGCCTGATACAAGACTTTGCTGACTCTGAAAATAAAAAGCTACGCAGACTCATACTCGAGTGCGAACTTCATGACAACAAGCCATCGCAATTACTTCGCACTATGCGCGACCTAGCAGCTGGAGCCATGAATGACGGCGCACTGAAACAATTCTGGCTAGATCGTTTGCCCGTTGCAGTGCGAGCTGTTGTGTCCATCGCTGACGGTGATCTTGACAAATGCGCACTTCAAGCTGATAAAATGATGGAGATGGGGAGTTATGGTTCTGTAGCCACTGTAGATGGTGCAAAAAATTCTCAATCAACACAGTCATCATCAATTGAAGAAATGCAAAC